AATTATTAAAAATTTTGTTTGTCTGAAAGTGTGCCATACATTTGACTGGATGACTCCTTTTACCAACTGTGGAGAGGAAGTCCGAAAGTGGTGTGTCATCAAACCGTTAAATTCACCAATATATTGAGAAGATCTCACATTTAATAGCTGATTGACTCGTTTTTTTATTTTAACTGGAATAGGGTTTCCGATTCCTTTTTTACTCTGGTTGAGCCAATGAGAACGATCTAACGAGAGCCCTTATGACAGCAGACCACAGTCGTGTTGAGCTGTCGTATTATTGGTTGTTCAGTAACCATTTCGAGATTAGCTTGGTTTCTATTACTAATATAAGTATGATGTGACTCCTTCTCTCCTTTTAATCATTCCATGGTAGTGGTCAAGTGCTTTAATTTGCTGTCATTGTTATCCCCAAGTTCTCAAGTGCGCAGTTCGAACCCTGTCCCGGGGTTTAATATGCTGCATCCAACAACAGGACATTTAGTTTTGGTGCTCACGTGTAACCCCAAAACCGATTAGCACCAACATGTACATGTTGAAAATACTAATCATTTAAATTTGTAAAAACAATCGTATTGCTTATCCAAGGGAATTTCAAGTGCCTTCATGAGGGTAATTTTTTGGATATTTCGTCTAATATGATGAATCAGGAATCACACCAAGTCGTGGCAATCACCTCTTTTATTCAGCGCTAAGAAAAGAACATCGAAATAGCGAAAACATTTCAGTATGATGAGATATGCCATCTTGAAAATTCACGTAAGCACTTCACGTCTACTCAGTTTGAGTATACTGGAATCGCAGTATACCGACCCACGTGTCATATTGAGACACAGGCAACAAGTAAACTAATACCGGAATTACTGCATCAATCCTCGTGCCTTGGAAGTTCATAAAAGCACGAATTGTGGCGTCGTGTGTGAGGATTCAGCGAGATACTTAGTGGGTTCACATTACAATAAGACATGCGTTAAAAAGCACCTATACGTTTAAAAGTGTGCTGGGTTTGCTCTACTTGCCTCAGATATTTGCTTTTCTTCAGGTTGCCAAACCACAATGTCTGTACTTGATCGATATTATTGATGCAGTCATGGAAGGTATGCGACGCTCTAATTGATCTCTTAATACATACCTACTCGTAGGCAGAACTAAAATTACTGTCTGGGTCACAGAATTTCCTATGGACACTTGCTTCATTCCACTTCAAAACATTCACTGTCATCAACGTTTTAGGAAAGTGTGGACAGAGTATCCACCAAACAACAGTCTCAGTTTGATACACATGAGAAATTAAAAAGTTTATCATACGACGGCTTATAATTCTGTTTATTTATTTGACACTCAGCATGTTATCGTTAACTGGTCTTTGAATGATGTTTGTACATCCTCAGATATTAAGAACACCTGGTAGTAGATCTTGAACAATCATGTGGTGTTCTCGTCCTGTTCCAATGTACGATAGACCAATTATCATGCAAACTCAAATCTCGTTTAGTTTGTGCAAGCTTTCGAAACAGTGGGAGCACTGTCTTGACTGTGTTTATCAAGGTCTTTGACGCTTAAAACCCTGTCTGCTTTTCAGCAGCACGGATGTTCCTTCACCTGGGTGTGTTAAATCTACATGTCCAACTTACCGCCGACGTTAAGACCTACAGTAATTCATCAATGAACCCATGAACAACTACATGTATGTGCTTGATCAACATAGCATTTTGATTGATGACATCATATTCGGGTGGTTGTAGCAGTCGCACACACCTGTGACCCGAATCCGTGGACCTATTAGCAATACAGATGCTACCGGTAGTAGTAGTAGTGGTAGTAGCAGCAGTTGTAGTAGTATAATTGGAATCAAAGGATGTCATTGGGTAGACGTGGTTATGATCTACCGTTTTCACCTGAGAATATACTCGATCCATTCTTAGCCGCGTCATCACGTGATATAGTTTCATATGCTGAAGTGAGAATTTTCGTCATTCGATATCACATGTGCACACGTACACACACTATTGGACGATTAAGAACGTGTGCACACACGAATGCTGGTAACTGGATTTAATGGTCAAACTGTTCATGATGATGACGATAGAATCAAGCTGCTGAAAGTATAAGGTCACGAACGATATGGTTTATACGTGTGCAACTGATCATGAGATTTACAGTGTACGTGTGCTAGCATGTCCAGAATAGGCATAAACATGAACTGTGAGCTTCAGCAACGTTTGATCATAACCGAAGCGTACTCATGCATCCGACTTTCAGAATCTTCCGCAGGGTACTGGAACGAACGGTGATTGAAGTATGCCATGACACCCACGCAATGATAGATTTATATCTGGAGATCCGTTGATTGAACAACTATCCGGTTGATGGGATGAATTAAAGCCTTTACACTTTGGGGAAAAGCATACACTTAGCTGAGTGCCTTCTGAACCTTCTAGTTGTATGTGCATGAGAGTTTAGAAATATTAGCCCGCGAAGACAAACATAACGGTCTGGGCCCAAAATGTGGTTCACATTCACCTAGCTCGTTTTATAGGCACTTTAGAAACAATCTTTCATACGGTTTTTTGATCAATATAAAGTTGGATGGAAATTGGCTGTTACGATATCCCCATCGAGGAAGGCCAGATAAAGTTCACACTTTGGTCTGGACAAATGTTGCCTAGAGAAAGCACTGCAGTTCAAATGCAAAAATGGAAGAGTTGAACTGCATAGCTGGTTTATCCTTGATCGCAATAACATATTTAAATCCACAATTCAGGGATTACTGGTAGACTCCTCATTTTGTCCATAGCGATGGCAACGGGAATCGTGAAGGTGGAAATTTGCGGGTGGCACAGCCTAGTGCGTCAGTCTATGTTATCCTGAGCATAAGACGCCGCGATCATCTGTACTCCACCGATAATTTCGAGATTTTTCCGGTCTCCGCCGAAAACCCATTCACACATTCATATATGTTTTCTGTCACTCACCGATTCCTTCCACATTTTAACATGATTTTTAGATGTGTTGTCAAGGTTGCCAGTTGTGTCATTCACACTTAATCCTGTAAGCTGATACGACACTGTTATGTTTGTAAATGTATGATGCATGTAAGCCTAATTCATGTGGCAGCCCGGAAATTCGACTGAGTAAACTGCCCAACGATGGTTATTGGAACAAATTTACACAGCATTCATTACTCGGATTTAGTTGGTGTGACCAACGAAATATTCATCGAAGACGGAAATTACACTCTATATGAAGTATACTACAAAACGTTGGCACCTTATGTACCGTTTATCGGGAAATGGTAAACATCATTAGGTGAACGCCTTTAGCTACTTTGGTCTGCTGCTCCATATAGCAGTGATCACCGTAAACTTTTATTTCGGATGAAAAAAGTAACAAAGTTTTATTTCGGGATACAGTTTGAAAAATTCATGCTGTTCCATAAGTGCTGATGAACGCTATCTCTAACATTTGAAACCTGTTCTTGATAAGATGAAATAATTTCAAGCGTCCTAGCGTCTATTTTTCTGGGCACCATCTCAATTGTAAATCTCTCTGGATATTTTCCTGTCCGAATATTTCGTCGCCAAAACCAGATTTCGGTTCGAGATAGTTTACGGAAAGTGTTTCACATTTGTGAAAACTTCAGTTGACTCTAGGTGGTTCTATTTGCGGTTCGAATGAGTGTTATTGCACTGTCACTGGACAAAGCCATGAAATCGGTAATTTGTTTCATTATGGTATAAACAGTACTTGATCGAATGTGTGTATGTATGCATGATGTCTGACTGTATCGATTACCTGGTAGGATTAGTTAGAATGAGTGTTGGCGAATTATTATTCTGTGTTTATAAGCACGGGTGTTTGTGAAAACGTCCCTCTGTTGACGAGGGACATGGCTGTCATATTCCGTCAGAGACAAGCGCATGGTTTCAACAACACGTTGATATCGTTTTTGTAAGCCTGGTCACCGTCTCTCGCTCTCTCTAACTCACACACCCACCCACACACACACACTACGTCTGAATTATTGTCCAGGGTTTGAACAAACATCATAGTCGAAATGCCGGCTTGGAAACAAACGCCGCGACAACCTAGATTGTGGACGTGCACATTTATGCACGGTGTATGGTCCATTGATGTCATCAGCTGCATCACTAAAACGGTTATCTTAACTACGACCAAACAGTTTCGGTGTGCATCATGAAACCCGATTGATTTGTGTGGTCAATTTGTTATCTCACTGAATCCCACCTACTATGGACCTTTTGTAAAGAAAGTGCTAGTCGATTTTCACTTTTATTAACAAATCGGGAACTCTGATGACAATAGTTGCCGGTGGTATATTATATAATCTTACATCAGTTTTATCCTAGTTTAAGAACATTATGGCACGGCTTTCAACATATAGTCCAAGATTCTTGAACTATGAGATATAAGTACAAATTGGAGTGTTTAACTGTTAAACTATTGAGAAACCTGTGGAACGCAGTCCTGCATATGCTCATGATGGCCATAGACATTTCATTGGGAATATACTGAAATCACAAAATAGTTATCTTATGTAGAGTGTGGTCAACGAGGACATTATTCCAAGAATAACCTGATACCTGAAACAAGTAACAAACAATAGCACTATCACTTTTTTCTGATTTTGACCCTTCATTCCGTCATTGTGTCAGGCTCGAAGCAACTGTGCCTTGGAAACACCGCCACCGATGCCAGAGAGCAAATCTTCATGGCTGGATTTCTGTCAGGAAGAAGCCACATGTAAAGCCGCTGCACCCAGTCCAAGAACACGCAGTCGGTCGGGATCCCTGTGCCAAGCGCTAAATTACATCACTCATAACAACTCCTTGTTCGATTTGAATATGGGTTCTGAATCTGTCGGATCCAAAGAGTCAATCGGATTATTGGGCTTTCGGGACTCGGGGAATGAGGAGGATCATACAGGGCAAAATGCAGACCAAGTCCCGACCACTTCTGCTCCACAACTCACTCTAAACATGTCTGACTTGGCCGAACAGCTGATAGCCACTTATGTTCCCACCACTGTTTCTACACCTGCACCTGCACCGGATTCAAGCAAAGAACCGGTCACCTTCGATCTGATGCCATTGGACTCTAAGCCAGAGACACAAAACTATTCCTATTTGAACATGAATACGGGATGTTGTGCCGGTGAAAATTCATTTGCACCACTCACTTCGCCATCTCAACCTCCTGGAGTGATTCATACTACTACCGATACTTCTCTGATTAACACGTGTGATGAATTAACGGCCTCAACGGACTGGACACCAGTGGTTACGACTACTACCACATCGGATACAATCCCTACAGTTGCCACCTCAACGACTAACGGAATACCCTGGAACGTGGACTCATTGCTTTCCAATTCCGACGAGTTTACCTCATCGCAAGCATGTCCCAATTATTCCCACACTCCTCCAAACACCCCAACAGTACCTGGGAGTGCATTTGATTATGGGACTCCCAAGAATTCTCAGTTACCCATGAGAGTTCCACGAATGTCATACACGAGGCATACTTCCTTAATGCTTGAGGGATATGAATCTGCGCCACAAATGGAAGCCCATCCGTTTTCACAAGCGAACGACTACTTCCGTCAAACTCAGCACAGTAACATCCCATGCACTCAAGGAGATTATTTACCTCCAAACGCGGTCAACACATTGACCCAAGGACAACCAGCAACCGGTGTCACACGCACTTGGGAGACAAGTTCACTGGTAAACGACAAAGTTCATGGAATTTTTCAACCTTACGCCGAATCTGAATGGGATGGTTTGGTCCATAGTACTTCGGAGACTAACAAACCTCAACAAGCCCTTCATCTGGATCGCACTGGTTTGAAACTCTGTCCCCAAAATCAAAATTCTAGTATCCCAGCTAGTGCAAGTGTTCCGGCTGCAGGCACTCATAGCGCAGTTACCGGACCGAAATCAGCCCCGGTTTGCATTGGTCGTCGATCTTCATTAAGATATCATTCAACAAACAATCCCATTATTTACCCCGAAGTAAGTGTTATTCCTCCTCAAGATTCGCATCATACACTCACAGCTGGATTTTCATACTATAATTCAACTTCAGGTATACCTACAACGGCATGTCCTGTGCTGAACAACACCGGTGAACAGCAAGCTTTGTGTAAGCTACCAGCAGTTCACGAACAAATTGAAACCGCTTGCAAGAAGCGATGTGCTGCACTTTCAGAACCGGTATGGAGCACCCATCCAACAACTGTTATCACTACGGCCACCACAAAAGCGGCAACAGCAACATCTGGTTTGAGATCCGTGAAGCGACCTATGTTCGATGAACCGGTCACAAATAATGCACACCTGATTACCAAAGGCGTTCATCCTGCTGGAATTGCGACAACGACAATCTCGACGACCGCTACGACCACAACTGCGATCATTTCCAACACTTCCAACAACGGCACTCAGAGTACTGCCAAAAATGCACCCGTAACAAACAGGCGTAGAAGACCGGCGGTGAATCAATCCACAGTTGTTCACCGATGCGAATACAGTGGTTGTCAAAAAAGCTATTCAAAGAGTTCTCATTTGAAGGCTCATATTCGTACGCACACCGGTGAAAAACCCTATGCATGCTTGTGGCCTGATTGTGGATGGCGATTCGCTCGATCTGATGAATTGACTAGGCATAGTCGAAAACACACGGGAGTCAGACCGTTTCATTGTCGTCTATGTCGTCGTACATTCGCTCGTAGCGATCATTTGGCGTTACACACCAGGAAGCATGACATGTGATGTGCGGATAAGTGAATGCAATCTGGATCGATGAAGCAGCTCGGACCCGAATAGACATGGTCTAACGAACTAGTGTGAAGCCAAATTACACGGATCGGAGATAAAATCACGTGAATAATCTTGGGTATACGAACACACGCACACACATAAAAACACTGCCCCAATAATCCACCATTCGTCTGTTGGTTTTTTCGTACGTTTATACATACACATTTACCGACTGAGTAAATCCAGTTTCACTGTCCCCCTCTCAGAGCTTTTATCATTTAGTTCCCATCAAAAACGTTTAAATGAAGACCACTTTATCAACATCCTTCAGTTTCCAATTGGATGTTTTCAAGGAATGATCAATATCTGGTTCATTCGATGTCAAATGCGTCTTCATTCCCCCGTTTCGCAATGATCTAGTCACGAAATACTACGTTTATACAGTCTTTCATAGAAACATTCTGTGCACCTTTATCTGCGTTGATTGGTCGAGATATCAGCGAGACGAGGGTAGTTCGACATGAATCTATCACTTCGGAACCATTTCCCTCAATTTATTTCCCATCTAAATAGGGCTCATTTGAGACAGAAAGCAAACGGAGAAACTGATACGGTTTCTGTGATTTTGATGACACAGAAACTGTTTCTTTCTGTGCGTTTGAATTTTGTTTTCTACTGAAATTTTACGCCTTTATATTTGTCTCCCCACATTATTTTTTTATTTCTGGCTGTTTTCAAAAGACAGCCAAATAAACACACACGAACGACGAGAGTATCATCAAATCAGAGCTCGCACGTGTGTAAGTGTATGTACCGAATTTTATAAACTCCCTTCGAACAGTCGTTTTTACAACCATATCCCTGTCAATCGTGCCTTGGCGATTTTGATCGCTGATAATAATAAAAACAAGTTGCCAACCGCATTTTGTTCCAAACACTTATGTCAAAATCTAACGCGATCCAATTTGAATATCTTTGGATGCGGCAAATTGGGTAGCACACACACAAACTGGATCTGAGAACAACTTGATGGGTTGATGGTTGGATGTAAACACGAAGCGGAAAGAAAAACAACTTCAGAGCAATTCAATTTTATTAAACTACAGTGAGAGAAACAAATACAAACAAACCAACGGGATCGCCTAAGTGAATTGATATAATGCGCTTATATCCAACGTGAACTAGTTTAAATTATAGATTGAATGAAACTATTAAAATCACATAATCAAATAGTTTTTCCACTGGACTACGCCATTCGATATCCCTGGGAGTGTTTCAATAAAACAATCAGTTTATGGTGGTTTGGCAAAATTTTAAGAGACTATTACATCAGGGTTGTAGTGCGAGAATATTAATCAACCATTTAGATCCCCTATATGATGCATTTTTGCAATGACTCGTAAACAAGAAAGGAAAATGGACACTAGATAGGGAAAATGAGTGCTCAGTGCAGCCAAAATGCATCAGAATTAAACGATGACATTTACTGAAAGTAAAAATGATGTAAGAATAATGTCTGACTCTGAAACAAACCAGGTACGATTTTCAACTAGGGGTAGCAAAAGAGATGCAGGCAGTTTTCTTTCATCATCGGTTTTGGTTTAAGTAGAGGAAAGGTTTGACCGGTGGTGGCCCGGTTGTAACGTCATCAAATTATCACCCCGTGGATTTGTGTTCGAACTCCACCACCACCGCCTGACTTTCCCCTTTGTGTGTTGAATGGTAGCCCTCTGATTGGCAGCTTCCCCCTTCCTAAGATTGTTGTATCTTTATATATTCAATAAAAGGAAGTAAAATAAAAAAGAAGAAAGGGATTTCCATTTTGCCTGTTCGCCGAGCTTGGCAATTTGTTTGCAAACGTTTAATCACCAGCCGAGGTGATATCATCAGTGCTTGTGAAGTGGCACTGACGATGTCACCTCGGCTGGTGATGAAACGTTTGCAAACGAATTGCCAAGCTCGGCGAACAGGCGAAATGGAATTCAGTTCACCCGAGTTACGAGAACCCATTTTCAGTATTTTGTCAACAGAAAGGGATTTATTGTTCTGCATAATTCACACTTCATCGAACGGTTTTGGCGGTACTAATATAGTCATTCTTAATTTTTAGTTTGCCGAGGACCGTAATGTTTTTCCAATAAACCATATCAATTCTTTTATTATTTACAAGCGGGCATGCACCAAGAATTAAACGAAATGAATCCAATAAGGAGCATTACGATCATTAATGCCTTACCAGAAAGAACGATTCGAGAGTATATAGTGCATCCAAAAGTTAGATCGATTTTCAAGTTCATTCGTGTCCCATAAGGAGACGTGACAAGTATTCAATGTGTTAATTTATTCGCATAATATGATGAAACACGTCAGTGTATTCCAACAAGGCCTTATATGTAGATGAGACAAGACTGATGATTTTGTTTGATTAATTGACCATGATTGTGTGTCGATTGTTTTAAGCACAAATTATGACGATAACCGACGATTGACAGTCATAAAACCACATTATCACCATCAGTCACTCGAGGGTCCTGAGTTCGAACCCCACTACTGCCACCCATCGTATCATTTTACTTATTTCCCCAGGCAACCTTTTATTGCCAGGGCTCTGTTCCGGAAAGTTTATTGTACACTTCTATAATGAATAAACAAAAAAAACTAAAAACATTTATTATTATTTACTAAATATTATATCAGCCACAACAAACTCATCCAATTTCGGATAAGTGGAGGAACCGGATCAGGTGGACAAAGTTCAAGGCGGCATGGATAAATTTAATCTGATACACTAGAATGAAAGATGGTGCACCGAAATTCCTGAGATAACTACTATATTTTCTTTAGAATGCCAGCAAGGCAGAGAAAGAAGATTTTTTGATTTTGACGAAGATTACACATAATATTGGACGGACTTCAGGTCAATAAATGTGAGAACTATGCAGTGAAAATAAAACAACGAATAACCGGAGCATTGAAGACGGTGATAATTACAGTTTCTGTTCTTTCGCCTTTACTAGGTTATCGGTTTGAACAATCATGAATAATTTCTCAACTAACACAGGGTGCTGGAGCTGGAAGTGACGAACCTCAAAAGACCACGGTAGAATGCACGTGGCCTGACGAAGTTAACTGAAGACCTGCGGGTCTGTACTGTCGAGGTTCAAACTCAGGATTTACTCGTATCGGTGATAGCAACTGACAGTCGCTGATAACAACTGATACAATATACCCATCTGACCCTGGATCAAGGCAACACAAACAGTTATTTATATTCGGTATTAGTGAAGTTAATTCAGTGATGTGTAGTTTAGAATCTCAGCCAAAATCAATTCAGTAAAGAGCCCCGAGCGAATCGTCACGCTAAAAGAACTCCACTTGGCAATCTCCTAAAATTGGAGGCGTGGTTTGCCGCAAGGAGCAAGCGTTCTTTTCTGTTAAACAAATATCATAAGTGAATGATAGAACACAGAATAACATAGTTGTCATTTTGATTGATCAGACTGATGAAAACGTACCACAGTTTAACGAATCGTTTTCGACAGACTGTCATAGCACATATGACGAACGATGACAAATCACTTGGCATCTTATTGTAGTCATTTGAGTGCATACTTCTCTCCATGCACTGATATATATTTTTACATTATTTACAGTGGTTTGTCATTCGCATGATGATCAAGGATAAAGTTTTAGTATAATCATAGTATTCTACTAATTTCTACTCAAGCAGGTTGACTTCCGTCAGAATATGAACCGCCAAAAGAGATGTCATTTATCCATTAACCTCAGATTGTAAACAAAGAAAGTCATTCCCTGGTTTTATGGGCGTCTTGGCTCATTTTCGACAGTACCAGGTTCAGAGGTGACCATTCGCCTAATGGTGCACAAGTTGATATGTGTTATTTCTCTCTCTTCATATAAATGACGCAATACCATCCAGTAATAATTTAAAAGATCATAAGCCATTTTTACCTTATCGGTCGCTGTATCCACTTAGACAAAACTTCGCGGTCTCACTGTTTTCTCACCAATACGTTTTTTTCGGTCACGTCGTGTTTTTTCACATTTAAACAAAGATTACATGCTGTGAAGAATTGTGACTGATCAACAAGTTTCGCAGTTTGATGTGAGAATGCTACAACCAACTGAACAAATATTCACCATTTGATCTTATCTCTATTATTCTGCCAAAATCCATTCCAACCGAGCCCTATATGATCAGCGAGAAGTTTCGATGACTTTCAACGTCAAGTGTTTCAGTCCACCCCGAAAAGGTTGTAAACCAGCTTATTTTTTTCTGATAGAACTGAGAATATTTTAATATCCTCGGAGTGAACGACAACAGATTGGTTGGGAATCGTTTTGGCCAGATGAAAACAATATATCCGATTAACGTGAAACATTTTATTCAGTCGCAAGCAGAGTCACGGAATAAAAACTCTATGTTTTGATCTTAATGTGTCGGCCTCTCACTCTTTGCGGATTAATTATATTCCGAACTGGTTTTATCCATCCGAGTTATCACGTCGTTGTTCGTAATGGCAGAAAAAGTGCAGTGGACTCATCAGCAGTGTGTACCATTTCCATGTTCCTGTTCAAACGCGAACGACGTCAATGCATTGAATATTTGCGGTACTGTGGGTCCTTCAATTTGTGATTTATATCTCTCATCATGTGATAGATGGTAGCGTGCTTCCAGTGCTGTACAATGGCCAAATTCTGCTTGGCTATGTTCCAGGCACCGGCAGAGAAAGACGGCAGAACAACCGAAAAGCATAAAGTGATAGCAATTATTTTTCCTTCAAGTAATTTATATGATGATATATTGTGGATACTGCGTGAGTGGTTTGTAGCAAAATACTTTATCATTTTAGTTAAGTTGGAATATTTTTATTTATTTGCTTATTTACTGTGCACTGAATAAAAAGAGATAAGCAATTTAGAACACATGTGCTCAACTTACTAAACACCCTAATGAAACAGGATTAATTTATTAAAAAGAATGAATTGCT